ACTAAAAATCGGCCGAGGCGGCCGCCTCTGATTTGCATAACTCAATTGAAAAAATCGGCAAGGCGGTGGCGCCTAGGCGGGCTTAGCGGGCTCAGCTGCCAGGCGCCTAGACGGGCCTAGGCGCTACTAGGCGTGCTCGGCTGCAATTTTTTAATTTTTTTTATCAATTTCTATTTAATAGTAAATACATTATTTTGTTTTTTTTACAATATAATATTATTATTTGGACTTAGGTGTATTGATTTGTTATAAGTTGAGATAATTTTAGTTTGTAGGTAGTGAAGATAAATAAAAAAAATAAGATATTTAATCTTGATTTCTAGGCTCTCTAGACGCTGGCTGAGCGTCTAGCGGTGCTTAGCGACTTTTAAAACACTGATATTTATACATAAATGTCGCATATAAAGATGCTCGAATGAAGCTTCCAACGGCTGTAAAAATATATAAAAAAAATGTCAATTATCTTATGTTGTGTGTTGCGCTATAGAGCTGTCAAAACGAGCCGGCGGGGCAGGGTGGCCCGTAGCCTGCCAAAACCCGCCTTTTTGACGGGACGGTGCGGGATTGCCATTCTGGCGGGCCTACGAAAAGCAGGCCCAATCCTCTCCCACCACTGGCCGCGGGTTTGGACTGCTGAATGTGGGATGTAGGCTGCTGCATACTAATGTCAGGTTACTATTAGCAGGTTTCTATTTCAGCTGAATGTTGGGCGGGCACTTTCTTTTTTTTTTCACTATTTTTTTATTTTTTATTTTTTATTTTTTTTGTAACTTACCAGCAGGACCAGTTCATTATTTAAAAAATAAAAATAAAAAAAAAAAAACCTGCTCAAATAGAAACAGGAGGAAAATAGGAATCCCGCGGAAGCTTGAAGGGTGGACTCGTGAATCGGACATGGGCTGTTTTTATATTTTTTTTTTTTATTTTTTTTTAATGCAAGAAATCTAACAAAAATTCTAATTTTATACCCCTTAGCAGGTTACTGAACTTAGAAAAAAAAAATGCTAATGAATAAGTTTGCAGGGCGGATCCAGAAAAAAATATTTTGGGGGGGACTAGACTGTTGTTCAATCTTAAGCGATTTCAAGAATATAGCTTGGTTTGGTTTTTTAAAATTTGAGGGCGAACTTATTTAAACGAGACGAGTTTGAACAATTGATCAAGTTTATAGTTGTGTTCGCAAACAATTTGATTAGGATTTATGAATTTATGTTTTGGATTTATTAAAACGGCGCAAGTGGATGAGTCGAGCTTTACCTCAGGTTTTTATTTATTAAATGAACGAGACAAACACAATTTTGAATATAAGGTACTTGATTGATCTTAATTCGAATGACATTTCGAGGGGAGTATATAATATTTAATAGCATAAAAATATGTTTATAGATATGAGAAGTTCACTTATGAGAAAGTAGATAAATAAAATTGCAGAGTCGTACAAAAATTGTGTTCTACATTCTTTCAACTCATAAAATTCACTAAAATTAACTCGCTATTAAAACTTCTTGCAATTTCCCATTCAAGCTCATGAAATTGCTAAAACAAGCATGCTCTCAAATAGCAGATTCTCAAGATTTTGCATTATCACATTCAATTTAATGAAACCTTAAATTACTAAAAGAAAAAAAAACAACAACAACAACAAATATTATACTATAGAATAGTATCTAACACAAATGTAATGTAGCTTTAAAATAATAAATAGATTCATTAATGTAATAATTAAATTATAAGTAATGTATTTTTGGGGTATAATTGTAGATTAAATATATATGTATATATAGTAATAGTAAATAAAAAATGTTGGGGGGACAATGGTCACCCCTAGTGGATATGTAAATCCGCCACTGTAAGTTTGCATATATATATTACAAAATTTTTTTTTTTTTTAAATTATGGCGGCATGGTCCCGATGCAAGCATGGAAATCAGCAGACCGGTTTCTCTTGCGAAAAATGGGTGAGATAGCGAATCGATCGAAATATGACTCTAATCCACATGAGTAGATGCTGAACTTGCCAAGTGCCCCGATGGCCAGAGGTCATGAGTGTGATGATAGCGGCAACGTCCAAATCGATCCAAATATGAGAGGAGATCGAGGAAGACTGATCTGAAGCATTAGAACCTCCGCGTCATAGCTCGAGGAGGCCCGAAAAGAGGCATGTAAATTATCTGTGGAGGGTAGAGGTTTACGAGTGTAACTGTATAATTCTCTTACACTCTCCTCACAGTCTCGATCTCAAAAAACAAATGGGTGAAGGTCTCCGTTTGAAAATAGCATGTCTCATCACAACAGTAGCAACGCGAGGGGAAAACGAACCCCTCACCTGCATCACAAAAATCAATCGGTAGGCGTGCAAAAGGAGGCGCCACAAGAAAACAAAAATGGTCGGGGTAAGTAGGTCGGTCCAGATGGCCCAAGAGAAGGTTAGGTCGGTCACCCAATGGTACTTCTCCCCAAGCCGAGGTCGTAGAGAATGCATCCGAAGATGTAAGTCTCCACCTCATGCAGTCCGAACCGTCCTCCGAGATAGGAATCTGCTGGATCTCATCTATCACCTGGTCACTAAAGCCTGCTCCAGTACCGAGAATCCTCTTTAATCTATCGCTATCCCATCCCCCCTCCGTCCACACCTGCAGAAAGGGAAGGTGGGTGACCTGTCTAGTACTCGAAATGGGACCCTCACCAAACCACCACTCATCCTAAAAGCTAATTTTCCCTCACCGAGAGTCCAAAATATGTGCTTTTGAGCACGTCTACCAACCATAGTGAGCCACCTCCACTGTCTGCTATCGCTGGCGGTGGTCGTCACCCTACAAGGATGGGCAGCACCTCCATGACAATATTTCCGACAAAGATACTGGGCCCAAAGTGATTTACTCTCCCTGAAGCGCCACCACATCTTAAAAGAGAATGCAATGACGACATCCGAAAAGCACGCGGATCTCGAGGCCCCCTCAGAGAAGGGGCGGCAGACGGAATCCCACTTCACCCAGTGGAGCTGTCTCCCTCTTCGAGAGCCCTCCCTATGCCCTAAAAAATAACGAGTCAGGATCTAATCTAGCTCGTGAATAGTAGACTGGTGGGGGTCAATTTTGCCATATAACGAAGTTTACGAGCATACAAAATTAGCATGTTCCGAAATTATATATAAAACCGATATTCCACGAGGACCACAACTCTCTTTAATTAATTAGTGGTTATATCAATATAATATGAAACGAAGCATGATAACTATAAGTCTATATAAAATAACACATGTATGTATGTTTAATTAACAACTCGGAGGGAAGATGAAATTCAGACTATACAAGTTGATAAATGTATTCTCTTTTTTTAAAAAAAAAAAAAAATAAAAAATTATAAACACGGCCATATATATATATATATGAACTCGTTATCGGTCAAACTAATTAGCACAAGCTAGTGAACATTAAAAAATATTCATGTACTTTATATAAATATATTTGCACATATATGTATGTATCTCAGTTATTAATTATTACATTCTTAATGAGACTTTAGGAATTCTTATTAGGCAGGAAAGTATGTATGTATTCGGGGATCGCAAAAAAAGCCCTTTCTTCCTTGTCCCAAGAAAACAACCCTAAAACCCTAACCCTAGATTTCTAAACCCTACACTAATTAATTAATAAATAAATAACTAAATAATTTAATTAATTAAGAAGTGGGTTACAGAACAAATACTACTCGTATTTAATTAAAAGTGTTTGAAGAAAAATTGCCCCGTTTCGAGGCGACACGAGCACTTTCCCGGCGTTCTCTCCCACCACCACCACCACCACCTCTCTCTCTCTCTTTCTTGGAAACTATCGATTTTCTCTCTCTAGATTCTCGTGTACGTCTTTTTCCGGATTTGCCCCTCTTTGTCGGCCCCAAACTACCAAAATTACCCCTCAGTGCAAGTTTCATGGTCATGCAGAGTAATTAATCAAAATCATAGTAATTAATTAAACGCTAGCTAGTAGTTGATTTTGTGCTGTAAATATTAATTGCATAATCAAAATTATTTAATAATAATATTATTTTTTTCTCCAAATCTTTAATTTAATATTTGAATTAAATGAAAACTATGAATATTAATGCAAAATTAATTCGTTGAGGATCCAAAGAGTCTGTTTGTAGGAGAGATTTTGGCAGTGGCTGAATAAGTTTGACTTTTTTTTTTTTTTTT